AACAGCTGTTCATGTCGCTGGAAGGATTCTGCCATTGTGCGCAAAACTTCATCCATCTTGTAATTCTGGTGAAATTCAATTACTCTACTTCGAACTTCGATCTACTCTCGCTTCAGCCTTGATCTTGCGGGCATTGTGGTACACTTGTATCTTGCGGTCGAGGACTACTTCAATCAGTTCTTCGGTTTGGTCGTTCCGGTGGATCAATAAGCCTGTGATCTCTTGGATGACGTTGCGGGCGTCGGAGTTTCTTTGCTTCGGGGATCTGGGCACGCAACTTGTTGATAACCACGCGTTGGTGACGGGTTAACACGTAAAGGTCTTGGCGTAGCTTAACCAGCAGATCCGGATAGTCGAGTAGTTCGCCGATGTCTTTTGTGACCGCGAGTTGAGGCTTGCGGGGCTTACTACGGGGCATACACTAACAGATCACTCAGAACGAGTATGGATTTTGTTGCTGAGACTATCACCAGGTAACAAGTAGCAAAGACCACGTTTTTAATACCTTTGGCGATGTGTAGACTCTGCAAATGACCACAACAACCGTCTAAGATGACTGGCTACTTACAGCTACAGCAGTTGAACGGGGCTTGGGCGAGGGAACCAGGAAGTACTACCAAATGTAGCACTTCGTGAGGAAGCGTGTGTAGTTGAGGGCAAAATGCACAATGAATTAACTGAAGATCTACAAAGATCTCCTTAATCCTCATCACTATGAAATCTTCTTAGTCTACTTCACTACTTCTACACTACAGTAATATGCACTTTTGTATACAATGGATGCGGGTGCGGTTGAGACATTGAGGAACTTCACTAGGCTAACGATTCTAAGCCATACTTGCCCTTGAGACACATTCCCAGGCAAGCATTAGCTAGGGTTTGTCATGAGCCAGGTACTTAGGAGCTGGGTGCGGGCATGGTGGTGGCAAGGCGTCACCCCCACCTGTCACATCGCTACACCAATCGTACACGTCCCCACAACAAAGCCCACCGGGGAGGCCGTGGGAAGGTTGAAAAACAGGCCGTCCGCGTACTAGCCACGTGACGCTTTAAAGCAGGTTTGTGACAACGTAGTTGACGTTGAAAGGGACGGACACCACGACGAGAGCAACAGCGGCGGCCGCAGATAACCCCCCCCCCGTCATGTCCACGAAAGCAAGGCCAAGTTTGTCAAATTTTGGAATACAAGCGATCGATAACGATGCCAAAATCACCATCGACGCCTGTCGTCGACATTATTCTCGAGAAACACGTACAACGAGCTCAGCATGGCCGGTGCCGACTGAACGTTGAAGGCCGCCGATTTCGCAACCCGTGTGAGCTTCTAAAGCGAGAGAATTCCTAAGGCGAGGCCATCGATGATTTTGAGGTCATCGCCCTCGAGCTTGTGTAGTTGGGACGGTTTGGCTGGTACTGCATCGAGCATAACGTTGCGTGGGTCGTCGGTGACATTTACAGGCAGTACCAGCATAGCAATAAACGTCCATTGTTGTGCGAGTTATAACTTTAGATTGACATTGACAACCCATCCATTTTTCAAACAAAATTTATAGTGTTCTTTGTACCCGACATTTATTGCTGTAAACGCTGGTTACCAGGGATTTGCCACTTCATACAATACATATACAGTGCGTGCCACGTCTTTTGATGGAATGCTTGGATAACTTGTACGTTAACTGACACGAAATATTCCAAACTATCGGCCGTGATTGGCCCGATCGTTTGGCGCTAGTTTTCGGACAAAATAATCGATTTCGATTGAGTTATGCCGCGAAAACCGAATACGGGGCGCGACAACCGGATAGAAAACTTCAGAAAATTTATCACTTTTGGAAGTTAAGCTTACAATCAACTTTAATAGTAGTTGACACATACTTCCTCTGTTCCAATATACTGGTGACATTTGAAAATCACACTTTTTCCAAATTACTTGCGACATTTCAATCCGATTGGTCAGAGATGCAGTAACTTGCGTGGTATTGGTTAAAAACCTGAGTGGCTGCTTAACCCAAAAGAGATGCAGAGCACGAGACATTCGGCATGAGCGCTTTGGCACGACGCAGCGCATCCTTGCGCAAGTGCGGCAGGCGAAAGTGGTTGCCACCATTGTTCTCCAAGACAAGGCGCATCACCGCTTGCAAGGTAAGAAACACTTTGTCCAGAGCCTCTCCGCCACTCTGGTCAAACGCAGCGAGCGTAGCACGAATAACATCTTCCACAGTGCGACTAACCAATTTGTACTGCAAAGATTGGATTGACGCGAAAAAGCCCAGACCCAACACATTGAGATCTGGGCTGTTTGGTGGCTGGCAGCGAACGACAAACGACCACCCATCCGTCGAGACCGGCACAAGGTCAGCGTCGGTGATGCCTCCATGTGGCGTTGCATTGTCGTGCTGGAGAACTACGCGCTTGTTGATGGTAGGGAACGTTGCCTTGATAGCTGGAATGATCCGCGTGAGCACGTAGTCCCGGTACATCGGTGCATCAACGTTCACCAACGTTGCCACAAGAGTTCCCGCCGGACGGTTGCGCGAGCTCCGCTAAGCAGGTTGGTACTGCACGAACGGCCAGATGCCAATCTTCCCATCAAAGTCGACACCACGCTCCAAGTCATGTCTAGGGCGTGCCACGGCCGCGAGGAACATCACTTTTGGGATGAAGCGCTTGCTTGACCATGCGCGCTGCTCAGGCTCTTCACCTTCCGTCAGGTACACCTTGCGGACGTTCTTGTCAGCGTTGAACCACTTTTCGTCAAGGTGAACGACATCCCACATGCCATAGAATGTCGGGGTTTCGGGAGGACCGGCTTTGCCGGCAAAATTCAAGACGCTTCGCCTTGTTTTCGTCCGTCAGCAGAGGCTTTATGCGAGTGGTGCGTCGATGGAGCGTTCCAGCATTGAGCGCTCGGTGCAAGGATCCAAGAGGAATTCCAGTGGCCTCGGAAATGTCGCGTATCGTCGAGCGGAGTGACTGGGGTAGTTCGCTGACGGTGCTGGCGACGAGGTGTGGCGTGTATACCGGCGAGCGGCCTACACGGCCAGCTTTCAACGATGGTAGCAGTTCGTTTCGTTGAAAGGCCTTCCAGATGCGCGATACGGTGGTCCGGTGGATTTCGTGCTCGGAGGCCGTGGTGAGGATCGCCCCGCGGGCAAGGTAGCCCTTGGTCGACAGGGTATGCAAGCAACGGATCACCTCCATCTTCTTGGCGTGTGAGAGCTCTCTTCCGGTGGGTTGGCGCGCCATGGTGCTCGACGTGTTCAGGTCCCGGAAAATTTAATTGTGAAAATCGTATTTTGAATTTTTATTCGGAGACCCGATGGCGAAGTGAAAATTGAGCGCCAAAATTTGCTTTCCGCGCTTTGCAGTCAATATTGCATACCTGTAGATTTTGATTCTCTTTTGAACGTGATATCATGCATCGAATTTGGACAAGAATTCAATTTTTGGGGGCGACCGGAAGTCAAATGTCGCAACTAATATGGAACAGAGGAAGTACAACGTTACACTAAACTACAAAGAACGTCTGAAGTGCAATAGGGATGGGCAGAGCCTCTGAACTGACTGAGTACGAGCAAGGCAGCACGTTAGCGTTCCAGCAAGCTGGATGGTCCATCAAAAGAACCGCTGCGACTCTCGGATGCTCTCGCAACGTAATTGCATCGTTTTTGCAGTCGCCTGACAACTGCGACAAGAAATACAAGGGTCAAGCAAAGTCACTGATCGTGCCCGACGACAAATCATCCGTGTCCGTTGTTCCCGCCATTTATTACCGGGGATTTATCACTTCACACAGTACTACAGTACATGTACTACGTAGTACCGGGTACGTACCATGGTTGAATCATGGACAGCTTAAGGCGGTTGTATCAATGCAGATGCCATAGAATACATGCACGAATCGATTGCATAACTTGACATGGCCAAGCTTACAACAAAATCTTCACAACACTACAATTTTGGGGTGGCTTTAAACTTATTTATTGCCAGCACAGTAATATCATGAAACGCCACAATAACAATAACAGTTTCGGGTAATAACGCCAGTAAACTACTTGCCTAATCTGTAGCGACTTTCAGGTGTCCAACTACCGCTACATTTGGGAGAGGCGCTTAGTACGTTTCGAGCCTACTTGTCGATTTTTGTGTGTCTACTTATAAGAGGACGACAAATCACACTGGTTTTCCACCACTCAAAACTGTATCGTAACCACCGTCCGTTTAGCACGCCGCCTTCGTTTGTTGCGTCAGCTCAACCACGTACGCGATGGAAAACTTGGTAAAGTCCGCGACGTGTCCCCAGTTGATGTTAGCCAGTGTGTCGTTGGACGTGTGGGCATATGGGTTGCTTTTGCCTCGGGCAGCTTCAAATGGAAACGACGACGGGTACCCCGCACGGAACCAACTGGCATGGTCCGACGAGGCGTAGCCGATCGTGCGGTCCACGTAGCCGATGGACAAGTACTTGGTCACGAGCTTCTTCAAGAAATCCACGAGCGGAATGTAGCTAAAGTCCAAAGTAAACGCCACCACGGGAGTGGTGCCAGGCTTGTAGTAACCAACCATGTCTTGTTGGACTTGGGCGTAAATGTGGGTTTGTTGCGCCGCATACGACTTGACGATCTCGGATGACCCTTGCAATCCCGTCTCTTCCGCCGCGTACCAGTGCACTTCCACGGGGCGCGTGGGGTTCCACTCGTTCGAGTTGAGCAAATGCGTGAGCGTGTGCAAGATGGAAATCGATCCAGATCCGTCGTCGTCGGCGCCAGGGGCGTACGTGTTGTTGGTCGAGCGGTTGATCGAGTCTTGGTGGCCAGAGAGCACCACCGTGTCGTTAGCCGTTTGGCCAGAAATCGGCTCGATGCGGGCAATCACCGACGCCTGGGTCCAGTTGTGCTCAAAGCGGCGCACCGTGTACTTGATGTTGGGGTTCACGGGCTTCAACGCGCTTGCTTGGTTGAACAACCAAGTGCTGGACGCTTTGCCTTCGGCGGACAACTTGTGCCGGTTGGCAAACTTGGTCACAAACTCGGTCAATGTTTTCTCCAACGCCAACGGGGTCACGTTGGCCTGGATCGCGCGGACTAGGGTTTCGTGGACGGGACCAGCGGGGTAAGTCTTGTTTTCAGGGCGTTGAGCGCGTTCGAATCCAAACAGTTGGAGCGAATCCCAGTCGCCATTGGTGGCGTCGGCAAACCCAATGTTGTTTTCGATCAAGTCGTCAATCTACATAGGGTTTATAAGAGAAGAGGGGGGGGCTACGTTCATACCTCGCTCTTGGTCAACCAGCGTTGGTCGTCGTCGGACAAAGCGATCAAACGCTTTTCGCCGTTGTCGATGGTTTGAGCTACGACCAGGGCGGCAATGAAAGCAAAGGCACCAAACACTTTCATGGTTGGAAAAGGATAAATGAGGGGTATACGAAGGTAGATTACGTCTAGCTTGCTTGTTTGAAAGATAAATCAACCCACGTCCAGTGCCACCACCATCTGGTGTTGTCCTATGGGTGCAGTGAGTGGTACACCGACATGATTTGCGACACATTTGCGGCTGTATGCATGGACACCCAAACGGTAAGTACTACTAGTACTTACTACTAGTACATCGGAACGTACCTACATCGATAGCCTTGTTGGTTTGTTGGTGGCTTTGCTGTGCCTTGGAGGTGCAAGTCGACTCCACTCCTTTTTCTGCCTTGATTCAACACAGCGAGATCGCGTATAGTCAATGCTTTCACCCGTTCATGTTGGCCCCCAAGTTGCCCAAAATGTATGTAAACGGCAAAATGGTTCGAACCCCGAAACCCCCGGGACGGTTTGGCTGGTACTTGTTCTTGCATACCGGTAACGTTGCGTGGGTCGTCGGGTGACATTCACAGGCAGTACTAGAGTAATAATATTCGTTTACTGTTGTGCGATTTATAACTTTAGATTGACAACCCATCCATTTTTTCAAACCAAATTTACAATGTTCTTTGTACCCGACATTTATTGCTGTAACGTTCGTTACCAACCAAGGATATGCCACTTCACACATTGTTATGGTTATTGTTATTACGCTGTAAAGTTAAAATCGCTCAGCGGGCACTTCATGGCCTCGGCCGCGTACTAGCTGCTTGTGTAAAGTTAAAATCGCTCAGCGGGCACTTAATGGCCTCGGCCGCGTACTAGCTGCTTTGGCAGCTAGCGGACTTAACTACTTGAAAACCTGAGTGTGTCTGCTCGAGGGAGCAGAAGCCTTATTCCGCTGGGGGAGGTAATCCGGGGTCCGGGGGGAGTCGCGGTGGCCGTAGGGTCGGGTCGGCGTAGCCTATG